AGAAACATGAAATTAAGTATGTAGAGCCCGGATTAGGCCAGAACACATAAAAGGGGACTTTTTTGTACTTTTTCGTTCTACAAAAGGTACTTTTTTAATTTTCTATAATATTGAACCTAAAGACATGAAATTTAGTATTAATTGTCTTGACTAGGTAAGAACTTATACAAAGGGGCTTTTTGGTACTTTTCGTTCTACAAAAGGTACTTTTTGAATTTTCTATAATATTGAACCTAGAAACATGAAATTAAGTATGTAGAGCCCGGATTAGGCCAGAACACGTAAAAGTAGACTTTTTTGTACTTTTTCGTTCTACAAAAGGTACTTTTTGAATTTTCTATAATATTGAACCTAGAAACATGAAGTTAAGTATGTAGAGCCTGGATTAAGTGGGAACTCATAATAGGGGACTTTTTGGTACTTTTTCGTTCTTCAAAAGGTACTTTTTGAAATTTCTATAATATTGAACTTAGAAGCATGAAGTTAATTATGTGGAGCCTGGATTAAGGGGGAACCCATAATAGGGGACTTTTTGGTACTTTTTCGTTCTTCAAAAGGTACTTTTTGAAATTTCTATAATATTGAACCTAGAAACATGAACCTGGTACCTTACCGTTTTACAATTGGTATTTTTTGATTTTTTGCAACATCATGGTGATTCGGCACAGCCGAATATAGAACTCTTACATGTTTATATTGGAATTGCCTCATTATTTCCCTTTAAACATTTTTAACGCAAATAACTTCACAGTTACACACAATGAGTATATGATATTTGCAAATTGCAATTGAAAATTACTTAACACGTGTTCTTTTAACAATAAAACAATAAATTCCAAAAAGTAATTAAAAATAATTTGAACAACCCAACGAAGTTACCTTGAACTCTAAAAATGCAAAATACTTTATTGACCTGCAAATTCTGATGAAAAATAATAAAATGCAACAACAAATGCACCAAAATTTGTATTTAAATATTTTTTCTTTTTTTTTCTCATGTAAAATTCTCTTTTAAGAGAATTTTGGTTTTTGTTCATAAATAAAATTCGATAAAACAGGTAACAAGTAAATTTATGTTTTCCAATTATAAATAGAGATTGTGAATTATAATAGAGATACGTGAATTTGTCTACCTCTACAATCTCTATTTATAATTGGAAAACATAAATTTACTTGTTACCTGTTTTATCGAATTTTATTTATGAACAAAAACCAAAATTCTCTTAAAAGAGAATTTTACATGAGAAAAAAAAAGAAAAAATATTTAAATACAAATTTTGGTGCATTGTGTGAAACTGTGAAGTTATTTGCGTTAAAAATGTTTAAAGGGAAATAATGAGGCAATTCCAATATAAACATGTAAGAGTTCTATATTCGGCTGTGCCGAATCACCATAATGTTGCAAAAATTCAAAAAATACCAATTGTAAAACGGTAAGGTACCAGGTTCATGTTTCTAGGTTCAATATTATAGAAATTTCAAAAAGTACCTTTTGAAGAACGAAAAAGTACCAAAAAGTCCCCTATTATGGGTTCCCCCTTAATCCAGGCTCCACATAATTAACTTCATGCTTCTAAGTTCAATATTATAGAAATTTCAAAAAGTACCTTTTGAAGAACGAAAAAGTACCAAAAAGTCCCCTATTATGAGTTCCCACTTAATCCAGGCTCTACATACTTAACTTCATGTTTCTAGGTTCAATATTATAGAAAATTCAAAAAGTACCTTTTGTAGAACGAAAAAGTACAAAAAAGTCTACTTTTACGTGTTCTGGCCTAATCCGGGCTCTACATACTTAATTTCATGTTTCTAGGTTCAATATTATAGAAAATTCAAAAAGTACCTTTTGTAGAACGAAAAGTACCAAAAAGCCCCTTTGTATAAGTTCTTACCTAGTCAAGACAATTAATACTAAATTTCATGTCTTTAGGTTCAATATTATAGAAAATTAAAAAAGTACCTTTTGTAGAACGAAAAAGTACAAAAAAGTCCCCTTTTATGTGTTCTGGCCTAATCCGGGCTCTACATACTTAATTTCATGTTTCTAGGTTCAATATTATAGAAAATTCAAAAAGTACCTTTTGTAGAACGAAAAATATATACCCTTCTTACGAAGGTGAAGGGTATAAAAATTAGTTTAGATTTTTAGAGAGAGATGTTTAATCAATATCATTAAAAAATATAAAATAAAGTAATTGATGAAATGACCCAAAGAATTATTAGAAAAAAGCTTAACCTTCAAAATCTTTAACTGCCAAAGGGAAGCGACTTGTATGCAACGAAAACCATTGAACTCATTATTTATCTTCTCCAAAGTCCATATTCGAACTAGGAAGAACACTATATTTAAATTTAGACCAGACAGACCTTAAGTTACTTGGAACCAATATAGAGTGAACTGTCGTGTGGTACAGGAAAAATACCAAATTTAGATATTTACAGATAGAGGTGGTTATCATCACCTAATTCCACAAACACAAAATCAAGAATAAAATCAAGATTTTAGCATGTGATAGTTCTATAGTGGTATACGGTGATGTCCCCATACTTAGAGTGGCTAGGATGGTACTTAGTGTTAGCATTATTGATTGAAAATCAATATTATACAATTTTTAATAAAATTCACACAGTACTCCCCAAATAGATGGGGTTTCCGTAATGTAGTTTTTTTATCAATGCAAAATAATACTATGTTTCCACTGGCTTGAAATCTACTAGTTTTGAGTAAACCTCTTCAAGGTGTTTCCACTGAGCTGACTTGTTTTTGGTGTTCGAATTTTCGAAGTAAATTTGACGTTTTATCTATAAAATTAAAAATAAATAAGTTTTTGTGCTATTTTAATAAAATATGTAGAAAACGGGTATAAATAGTGAATTTATTTTAAATTATGCGCTAGAAAGTTGTAACATGATTGCTGGAGTATGCAATTATTTTTCAAATACCGTTAAGCTATATCAACCTCAAAGAATGATATGCCGGCGAAGGATAAGAAGAATTCAAACAAAGAAACATATCCTGATTCTTCTTGCCAAACGTGCACAAGTAAAACGCCGAAGATTATGGAAATTTGTAAGTAGTAACACAAATCTTTGAATATAAGAGACTAAAATTTAAAATAACATTTTAAGAATCGTTCATCGCAATTTTTTGAGCAAGATTGTCTTAACTTTAATGCAGAAAGTTTCAAGAATAACTTCCGTATGTCGCGGCAAACATTTGACAACCTTTGCACATATTCAGGAAATATGAAAAAGAAGGACACAAACTTCAGAAAAGCAATACCATTTAAAAAAGAGTGGCAGTTGCTTTGTATGCTTTAGGCTCTTCTGCCGAGTACAGAAGCATTGGAAATTTGTTCGGTATTTCAAAATCAATGGTTTCGAAAATAGTTATAGAGTTTTGCCAAGAAACTTATAAACAATTAAAACCGCAATATCTTAATTATTTTCCATTATCACGTGAAACTATAGAGGACTGTGTAAACGGATTTGATATAACGGGACTACCTCAATGTTTAGGAGCAATTGGTATCAAACGAACTAATGTATACTATAATTTACAATATAACAAAGTTTTTTTTTCCCAGATGGCTGCCACATTGAAGTTCATCCAGCTTCTGAAGATGCTGTGGACTATTATAATTACAAGGGATGGTATTCAACAGTTTTACTAGCTCTAGTAGACTATAGGTGGTGTAACCATTTCAAGGAAAATTATTTAAAATCTCAACAAATTTAAAATTTGCATGTTTTCAGATATCGATTTCTCTACATAAATGTAGGAAGTCCAGGAAGATGTAATGACTCCCAAATTTATGAAAGATCATTACTTAAAAAACATATTTCAGAGAGTGACATTTTGGATCAGTATTCCAAAGATATATGTGGAACTAAAATTCCAATTTATATTATTGGAGATTCAGCTTTTAGATTCTCTAAGAATCTAATGAAGCCATACCCTTTTAATGCCAATAATGATTCTCGAAGAAAAAAATTTAATTACCTTCTTTCAAAACATCGAAGAGTGGTAGAAAATGCCTTTGGTCACTTAAAAGCTCGATTCCGTCGAGTAGGAAAAGGAATTGACAATAAAATACAAAATGTCAACCTGATCATTAAAACATGTTGTCTTCTCCATAATTTTTTAAATGAAAATAACGACAATGTCAACAATAAATGGCTAAAAGACTTAGAACAATATGATAAACTTCGTAAAAATCTGCAAAATCAAACGGTACTGGATGATACCATAAACGATGCAGAACAAATACGTCATGCACTCAGTTTATATGGTAAGTATTATTATGTTTTACCTTTTTGAAAACGTTGGTTTATTTTCCTTATTATACCCTACACCACCATAGTGGTGAGGGTATTATACGTTTGTGCTGATGTTTGTAACGCACAAAAATATTGGTCTTACATGTTTATATTGGAATTGCCTCATTATTTCCCTTTAAACATTTTTAACGCAAATAACTTCACAGTTTCACACAATGAGTATATGATTTTTGCAAATTGCAATTGAAAAATACTTAACACGTGTTCTTTTAACAATAAAACAATAAATTCCAAAAAGTAATTAAAAATAATTTGAACAACCCAACGAAATTACCTTGAATTCTAAAAATGCAAAATACTTTATTGACCTGCAAATTCTGATGAAAAATAATAAAATGCAACAACAAATGCACCAAAATTTGTATTTAAATATTTTTTCTTTTTTTTTCTCATGTAAAATTCTCTTTTAAGAGAATTTTGGTTTTTGTTCATAAATAAAATACGATAAAACAGTTAACAAGTAAATTTATGTTTTCCAATTATAAATAGAGATTGTGAATTATAATAGAGATACGTGAATTTGTCTACCTCTACAATCTCTATTTATAATTGGAAAACATAAATTTACTTGTTACCTGTTTTATCGAATTTTATTTATGAACAAAAACCAAAATTCTCTTAAAAGGTAACAAAAAACTTGATTCACTGTATGTATTTACACATGTATTTTATACCAGGTTCACACGGAGAAGTTGAATTACTTAATTCGGCCTCTGAATGACAATAGCCAATTAACCTGTTTCTACGACACATTCGTAATTCGTTTTGACAGTTCATCGCCATGTTGTTTTTATACCCTCCACCACCATCAGTGGTGATAGAGGGTATATATAACTTTGTCATTCCGTGTGTAACACCAAGAAATATTCATCTGAGACCCAACAAAGTATATATATTCTTGGACCTTATGAAATTCTGAGTCGATTTAGCTATGTCCGTCTGTCCGTCCGTCCGTCCGTCTGTCTGTCTGTCTGTATAAAACATTCTCACGTTAACACGAAGCAATAAAAATTAACGAAATTCACCCAAAATATTTATTATTGTCCTAGGCAATTTGGTATTGAAAATGAGCAAAATCGGTTTACACCGGGAAAAGTTATGAATCAAAATTTGAAACAACCTCGAAAAAATAAGCTTTTTTTACACATTCTCATGTAATTTTCTCGAAAACTATAAAAGATAATTCCATGAAAATCAGCACACATTCGTTTCTACACAAGAGCTTGACTCCTGCTGAAAATTGCCAGAATCGGTCCACAATTTCATATACCTCCCATACAAAAGTACATATTCCCGGAAAATGGGTTTTTTGTTAATAACTTCCGTCACAATGTCGAAATCTTTACAAAATTTTACAAATTAAAATCTTATGTCAATATAATTCATTCAGAGAAAAAATTTTCTGGATCGGTCCATAATTGTACATAGCTCCCATACAAGGTCTCCTCCCGAAAATAACTTAAACGCAAATAATTCATTTCTAAATCAAGTTATCTATATAAAATTTGGTACAAGTATTGCCCTCACATACAGAAGTATTACTGTGAAATTTGTTTTTCCATCGGTCCATAATTGGTCATAGCTCCCATACAAGGTCCCCTCCCGAAAATCACTTAATCGCGCATAACTCATTACTAACATAAGACATCCATATAAAATTTGGTACAAGTATTACTCATGTGCACAGAAATATTATTGCGAAATTTTTTTTCCGATCGGTCCATTATTGGTCATAGCTCCCATACAAGGTCCCATCCCTAAAATCACTTAAACGCGCATAACTTGTTACAAAATTAAGATATCCATATAAAATTTGGTACATGTATTACTCTCACATACAGAAATATTACTGAGAATTTTTTTTTCTGATCGGTCCATAATTGGTCATAGCTCACATACACGGTCCCCTCCCGAAAATCACTTAAACGCACACAACTCATTCACAAATTAAGATGTATATATAAAATTTGGTACAAGTATTGCTCATATGCACAAAACTATTACTGTGAAATTTTTTTCCGATCGGTTCATAATTGGTCATAGCTCCTATTCAAGGTCCCCTCCCGAAAATCACTTAAACGCACATAACTCATTACGAAATTAAGATAAAATACATAAACGTAAAAGTTGATACAGGTATTGCTCACATATACAGAAATATTACTGTGAAATATTTTTCCGATCGGTCCATAATTGGTCATAGCTCCCATACAAGGTCCTTTCCAGAAAATCACTTAAACGCGCATATCTCATTACTAAATTAAGATATCCATATAAAATTTGGTACAAGTATTGCCCAAATGCACAGAAACATTACTGTGAAATTTTTTTTCCGATCGGTCCATAATTGGTCATAGCTCCCATACAAGGTCCTTTCCCGAAAATCACTTAAACGCGCTTAACTCATTACTAAACTAGGATATCCACATAAAATGTGGTACAAGTATTGCTCATATGCACAGAAATATTACTGTAAAATTTTTTTCCTATCGGTCCATCCTTGGTCATAGCTCCCATGCAAGGTTCCCTTCCGAAAATCACATAAACGCACATAACTCATTACAAAATATTGATATCCATACATTTAGCACAAATATTGCTCTTATATACATAAATTACTAGGCCCCCTCCAGAAAATTACTTAATTGTACAATATTCATTACCAAATAATGATATAGATGCAGAATTTTGAAATTTTGTTTTTATATACACAATTGGTCATAGCTCCCATACAAGGTCCTCTTTCGAAAATCTCTTAAATGCACATTACTCATTACCAAATAAAGCTGTTGATACAAAAATTATATTTCAAGATTTTTGCACGATCGGTTCATAACACACATTACTTATTACTAAATTACGATATAGATACAAAATTTTACTGAAATATAGCTTTCATATCCAGAAGTTTTGCTTAAAGATTTTTTTACGATCGGTCTATAATTGGTCATATCTCCCATACTAGGTCCTGCCCCTAAGACCGTATTTAACTAGTTGCATTATCAATTTGTGTAGAACAAAATTATATATATGTATTTTGAAAATCCTTAAATCTTTCACACACATGCATACATGCAAATTAATAAAAATCGCCAAGCGTTGGTAATGTTCAATAAATCTTGGAATTGTAATAGATTTGAGCTGTTTGAATCTAGGGATTTTTCTATTTAAGATATGAGAAAACTTATTTCTACAAATATTTGATCAATTAGAAAAGTATTAATATAAAAGTAGCTGGTGGAGGGTATTTAAGATTCGGCTCAGCCGAATATAGCACTCTAACTTGTTTTTTTTTTTCATTCATTATTTTGTCATTTTTTGGAATATTTGTGTGTGTGTATGACAGAGATACAAGCCGATGCAAAATGATCGGCGGCGGCGGCGCAACCATTTTAGGTCGGCGGTGGCGGCTTATTATAGAAAATATCGGAAATATTTTCTGAAATACATGTGCGATTCCAATATTTATCAGCGGTATATTTTCTATTTGTCTCCAACCAATGAAAACAAACAGTTGATTATGATAAATACCCGATAAAAATTAGAGATGGCACTCATTTATTCGTAATTCAGTTTGAATTACGTACAGCTTGTGTAATTCGCAGCTGAAATTTTGTATGGCGAATCATGTCATTCAGTACGTAATTGGGGGTTGAATGATGAATGAGAGCGTGAATTACGAATAATTGCACCATGTGAATGGGGTATTACTAACGTGGACAGATGGATTTTGAATAAAAGAGGGATCCGAGTGATTAAAAAAGCGGAATTTGGAAGAAAATATTTTTAATAAGCGGGATTTTAAAAATTTCTATTCATTAAATCGCGATATAATAAAACTTAATATTAGAACAAGTAAAAGAGATATATGTATTCGACTAATACCTCATTTACACTACATCGAAATCTAGTAGATTTCAATCGAAATCTTTCTTCAAATCTAGACCGTTTACACTTCGTATTTTTGACATTTAGAAAGATTTAATTTTTTCTAATATTTCTCCAAATTGTGTTTAATATGAAAAATTAGAAGGAAATATGGATAATCTCCTTGAATTTCATTTAAAATAAAAAAATATATATATTTTAATATTACATTACCTTCTATTTTAAATTAACTTTTCATTCATGTTTTCCAATTTATTAAAATTTTGTCCACATTTTGATTTTTCTTTGTTTGTCTTGTTTTTCTTGTGCAGCGTCGTATTTTTTCATTTCTATTTTTACTAGATTTTACAAAATCTACTAATGAAGTAGATTTGTTTTGTATGGGAAATCTTTCATGTTTCATGTTTGTCTTATTTTTATTAATCAAAATTCAATCCTTAAAAATAGTATGCCTTGGTCTCAGGACAAAAAATTTTTTGACATGTGTAATTTGTTTATACAAATTTCATAGACGTTTATCAATACGCGAATGTTATTTCATGAAATTCTCCCGGAATAAAGTTCAAGCTATGCATTTCGGTTCTTTTTAATCACATACATAGTCTTCCAAATTTCGAACGGACATTTTGTTCCATTTTTCTATATTATAATTATTCAAAACTTTTTGCGGTTTACCATGTTAATACTTTTGAATAACACTAGTGTAAAAATTAAAATTTTTGTTTGCTCATGGATTGAATATATATTTTTAAAAAGGGACTATCTATGTCCGGTGGTTCCTGGCCAATTTTTATATTTTCCTATTGTCAAAATTTTAAAAGAAAGAGTTTTTAATTAATCATTATCCTTGAGTGCTTGTAAAATATTGAAAATGAGTATTGATTTTGGGGTGATTGCACCTTTTTAGGAACATAACAATAATTCGATAACATCACTCTGAAATATCAGTTAAAAAATAAAAGAAATCAAAATTAAGACGCAAACGGAAATAATTAGTTCTCCTGATTGTTAAATATAACTGGGTAAATTAAGGATAAATTAAATTCTCTATTAGGCCGGGGACTTAAAATACTGGACATAAACATAGATTGACATATTTCTTATAACTTACTAGGCAAAAAAGCACAGCTTTATAAGTTAAAAGTGACGGGTCCAAAAAGTTAATTTTCACTTGACACTTAAAATAATATGAACATTCACTTTACAAATTTAAATAAAACCTTCTGATTTAAAAAAGTATGTCTATATTTACCCACATTTTGAAAATTTATTAAAAAATACTAGAATATCTCTTTTAAATCTCTATTCTCTACCAAAATTCCTAAATTTAAAGTTTATTATAAATTGATTACAATAAAATTAAGGAAGATTGAACTGTTATGTAAAAAAGCGGGATATTCTAAGACGGGATCAACTTTTGAAAATCGGGAAAATGCCGCTTTTGGCGGGATGTCTGGTCATGTTAGGTATTACACATGCAGTGTTTCATAGGTATCAGACGATATGAACAACTTTTACCGATAGAAATTTTGACAGTACATATGTAAAATACATGTCGTCTAATAGCCCCTTAAGCATTAATTTTAAGCTCACAAAATTGTACTATTGAGTCACTCTTACCGTCAATGATGTAAGTAAACAAACTTAAAGGCCAAAGCACATACAATACATTTGGTAGAACTGCGTCTGACAGCTGAAGTTTAATGTATATTTTTAAATGTGTAAGTACTCAATCAACACATAAAACTTGTGAACAACGCACAAAATTTGAGAAATGTTCATCATTGAAGTAAAGTAAGAAAGCGAAAAAAAGAAGAATAAAATTACAGAGGTCAAAGTTTTTGTTTGGTTTAAATGTGAATTTTGTTTACAAAAATACATTTTAAAATTTTTGTTTAAATAAGAAAGAAATGTATAATTGTTAAAATATTTTTTATTTAAAATAAAAATACAAACATATTTCGACAACGCAATGATTAGGTCTTAATATTTTTCCAATGCTTCGCAGTCAGTCGCAGTTCGGCCAAAACCATTGGATGTGATTGGGGCTTAACTTAACTAAAAGATTATATATGAGTTAGTAAGTTTGAATCAGTTCATTCATAAAGTTGACAAACAAGTTGGAAGTACGGTTTTTATTTTTGAAGCGTAAGAGTACAAACATACATATTTAAATACATATTGTGTAGATCTTTAGATGACACCAACACAAAAAAGAAACTTTTAAAATTAATTTTATTATTTTATTAAGAATTATAAATAAAAAACGTGAGTTCTCGTGAAAATTACACTTTTAAGTGAATATTTAGATGCATATATAAATATATACTTTTTATAAGTTTATGTATATTTTGTTTGAATATACATACGTATAACTATTTCATGGCCATATAAATAATTGACGTAGGTGTTATTTATACAACATACATAAATACGTACAATTCTTATATGACTTGTTTTTTAAATGTTAAACATAAAAAATCTGTCTATTACATATAATTAAATAAAATCTTAAATAATATGTAAAATATGTAAAAAAAATTTAATTCAAAAAATTGTTTTACTCTTTTCTTTATGTCATCTATTTTCATTTCCAAAATCTGGTCGCCTTACCTTCGTAAAATCTGGAATGTTAATAAGGAGACTTTTAAGTCATGCCTGCTTTTTGAAGATTTGTCATATTGTTTTAAATATATTAAAATGAAATACAATTTTTGTTATACCTTTCACGAGGGTCGGCTAACTTTTAATTTGGAACAGCCAAAATTTACAATTTACAAAACTTAGGTTTTAAAAGAGCCACGAATTTTTAGTTAAGTAACACGTTACAAATGCTTTAAAAACATACATATGTACATACGTACTTTGTTTAGTTATCTGCAAAGAATATATCTTATAGATTTTTGATCACAAATATTGAGTTTTTATGGGTCACTCTACGCTTGTCATTTAAAGGTTTATTAGACTATTTTATTATATTTTATACACATATTCCCGTTTTGTACGTTTTATAGCCAAAAATATAATACCAATAATATATAATATGGGTATCATACTGTTATAAATAATTTTCATTTACATTTCTAAAACGTGTAATAAGTTAACAATTTTTTGTCACCTTTTTATTCAAAGCGAACAAAAAACCTATTTTTTAAGGTTTTTAAGGTTGGGGATTTTAAGGTTAGTATTATTGGAAAGTAGGCTAGTCACAAATTTTCCAAAAGACTTTAGATAGCTATTTCTTCAACCTACTAGGCCTACTATCCAATGGTGCAAATTTCATCCAAATCGATTTTTTAAGTTGGTTCACTAGACTTGAAATTGCCATTACTGTATCCAAACTTTCTATATTTAAGTTATACACAAGTCACAGTTCATTTCGGGGCTGAATGTTTGTGGCTAATTAATTACTATATTTTCAATTTAAAAAACTTTTTATTTGAAAACAACGAAAAATTCGGAATGTATTATCACGATTTACATATTAAAGGTAAACCTCGCCAAAATCGAATTTTGGATTTGAAGAGCTTATAGTCACAAGGTATACAGAGGTGTCACGACCAAATAACTATTTCTCTCTTTTTCGCACAAAACGATTTCAATGATTTTTTTAGTCGTATTTTACATACCTCTTCTCACCAAACAATTTCAAAAGCAAAAAAAGCTAAATTTGAAATGTATAAAATGGCTTCATAGCTTATTCCTTGTTAGGAAAAAATATTATGCAGCATATGTCCAAATTATTGTTAATAGAAAATAAGAAAAAAACCAGCAATTTGTTCTTGTGTGCTAAAATCAAAACCTATTCTTACAAGTGGCTAAATCAATGGTGAAATTTATCGAGAAAATGCTTTGAAAATCATATGTTATCATTAGTATGATCTCACACTGCAATCCCATTTTGTCCAAACGTAGCCAGTTGTCATTATGTCAGAGACTCAATTAAATGATCTTTGAAATGAACAAAAAAATTAGACTTTGTACAAAGAAAAAATTATTTATATATATGTATATTAGTCATTGTTACTTAAAGAAAATATGAATGACAGTGTTAACTTTAAAATATCTTATCTAATACCCCATTTACACTACAGTGAAATCTAGTACTTGTGAGATTTCGAGCAAATCTAGTTTGTTTTTACTAGATTTTACTAAATCTACTTCATTAGTAGATTTCGGCAATATCTATTAAAAATAGAAATTCAACTATGTTTTTTGCCCAATAGAACTAAAAAATAGAGGAAAAAATTACATTTGAGACAAAACAAATTAAAAATTAAAGGAAAACATGAATAAAAAGTGTTTTGAAAGTAAAATATAATGTAATATTAAAATGCCGAATTTTGTACAAAAAATGAAATACTAATAAATAATCTATATTTTCCACTATTTTTTTGTGTAAAAATATTTAATTTGTGAAAATAATTGTTTTGTTTTTAATTTCATTCAGCTGTATTTCAGTTCTGTTTGTAGTGTAAACGATGGATTTTGAGCAAGATTTGAAATCTAATCTACTAGATATTTCTGTAGTGTAAATGGGGTATAAGCGGCATTTGGCAGCCACAAAAGTCTCGAGCAAAATCAATTTTTTTTGTTTACGCTATGAACCAAGGCGAATTCACTTAAGGTGGTGACAGTTCTGCAACAACAACATTTTAAATGTAGTTCAAGGCGAATTCATATAAGGTGGTGTTATTCAATCAGCTGATTTTTTTCTTAATTCGCCTGGTTTGGGTAGCTGTCAAAGTTTGTTATTGTTTACATTTTTATATTTAAAAATGTCCGTTAAACGGAGAAAAACATCGTTAATATTTTGAATTATTTATGTAAAAAATCTGAAAATACCAAGCATCTCGTAAACAAATATAATTTTATTTAAATAATGGCATAATTGGTATGTATACAAATATGTTATTTAAGAAAAACATTTTTTTCTATTAAATGTTAACATATTACACAATATTGTTTTATATTTTATATTGAAATTGTGTAGATAACGTGATTAACTAAAAAAATCTCTTCCGGAACACTTAATATTAAGAAACGCATATGAAGTATATACCCGGCTGGCGGCAGCTGACTTCTACGTTATGGCTTAATTTTTAAATCTATTAAATGTTAACAAATTAAACAATATTGTTTTATATATACACTATGTAGATAAAGAGATTAACTAAAAAAAGTCTGTTCCGGAACGCTTTATATAACAAAACCCATATGAGGTATTTACCCGTCCGGCGGCTGCTACATGATGGCCAAATATTGAAAATTGCTCAGAGTAGAATTATCCATTCACAACAAATATTCATTCATTCGTAATATTATATTTTCATGAATATGTACTTTTTTATGTTTATTTTTCACAAAAAATTATGTTTTACTTATTTTCAGGCACTCACTTAAATTTTACAAATTAATCTGCCGGAATAGAATTTTTCGTTTGAAACAAACATTCAATTCAGAATATATTTCCCTCACGAATCTTTACTTTTTAATAAAATATAAGCATTTTAAAAAAAATTTTCATCAAATGAATTCGCCGTACTTATGGTTTTTGACATCTACGTAAACCAAATGCAAAAACAAAATACATGTAAAATGTTGTTGTTGCAGAACTGCCACCACCTTATCTGAATTCGCCTTGATGTAGTTTGTTTTTGCATTTGGTTCAAGTAGATGTCAAAAACAGTAAGTGCGGCGAATTCATTTCATGAAAAATGTTTGTAAACTTTTTATATTTTATTAAAAAATAAAGATAAAAATATTAAAATTTGTGAAGAAAATTGATCCTGAATTGAATAATGTTTGTTTCAAACGAAAATTTCTATTTCGGCAGAGAAAAGATAAACATAAAAAGATACATATTCTAGAAACAATTATATTACGAATGAATTAATCTTTGTTGCGAATGGTTAATTCTACTCTGAGTAATTTTCAATATTTGGCCAGAACGTAGCAGCCGGCAGCCGGGTAAATATCTACCTCAAGCGACACGGAACAGATTTTTTGCAGTTAATCACGTTATCTACATAGTGTAAATATTAGGGTTGTCAATTATTCGTGCTTAGATTTTAAAAATTATTCGATTATTCGAACGAATAATTATATATTTGTCTCACACTGTGTCTCCATTTTAATTTTCGGTGAAGGGTTACACTCTGTCTATCACCGGTATCTTCTTGCTCAGAAAACAGCGCTCAGTGACCAGACATCCTGCCAAAAGCAGGATTATCCCGCTTTATAAAGGTTGATTATTAATCAATAATCCTTAATTTTATTGTAATCACTTTGGGATTTATTATTTAAAAGCTTAAAATTTAAACTTTAAATTTAGAAATTTTGGTACAAAATAGAGATTCGAAAGAAATATTCTAGCATTTTTTAATAATTTTTCAAAATGTGGGTAAATATAGATATAATGTTTTTAAAAAATCATATTATTTTAAGTGTCAAGTGAAAATAAACTTTTTGGACCCGTCACTTTTAACTTATAAAGCTGTGCTTTTTTGCCGAGTGAGCTACAAGAAAGATATCAATCTAACTTTATGACTAGTATTTTAAGCAGACCTGGGCGATTTCCATTAATTTTGCATTAACATTAAATTAAAAAAAAATAATTTAATGTAAAAAATATTGCATTAACATTAAATTTGTAAAATTTAATGCATTAAATTTCCATTAACATTAAATATTTTTTAATTTAATGCATTAATTTTACATTAACATTAAATATTTTTGAAATTAATGCAATAATTTTGCATTAATATTAAATATATGTGAATTTAGTGCATTAATTTTACATTAACATTAAATAAGCAATAAAATTAAAGCATTAATATTCCATTAACATTAATATATATCAAAATTGATAATTGATAAACATAAATAAAAATATAGCACAAAAGACCTCGATCAAACTAAATACAACTAAAATTAAATAGGTTAAAGTACTTTCTAATAACTCCTATATTCCATTCAAACTTGTGTGTGTTAAATATGATATTTATATAAGATTCCACAGACAAAAACTATAAAAGGATTATCTGGGAAGTGATACTATTCTTCTAATATGTATTATCGAGTATAGGACTTATTAGGAAGGACTTTAACAAAATAAACTAAAAAAGGAATATCTGGGAAGTGATACTATTCTTCTAATATGTATTATCGAGTATAGGACTTATTAGAAAGGACTTCATTCAAACAGAAAGAAACATTCAATTTTACTTGAATTTAGTTAGACCGAGGTCTTTAGCGCTGTATTCTTA